TACAATAACCTTGCCACCCTCCCTCCCCCATAACTCCCCCATAACTCCTTTTTGGATCAGGACCCCTACAATTACAACACCGTGAAATTTCAGATTTAAATAGATGAAATCTTGAAATTTATGATTTTTAAAATCCTGTGACCGTGAAATTGACCAAAATGGACTGTGAATTTGAACAAAAATTCACAGGAGCCCATGACCTGTGACTTTACTAAAAAAAAGTAATATGGGGGTGGTGGTGCTCAAACCTGGCTCCAGTGGGTGCAGCCACTGGGGGTTGGGGGGCACACTGCCCCAGCTCCAGCACAGGGGGTGGTGGAGTGCACATGGCCCCAGCCAAAGCCACGGGGTGGGCGAGCGCACACACGTTCGCACAGTCCCGGCTCCAGCTGAAGAAAGTCACAGATGTCTGGTAAAGTCACGGAATCTGTGACTGCCGTGACCTCCATGTCTAAAATGTATACTTATTTTTAATTTAGCACAAGCAAGTACCGACATGCAATATATCTGTGAACAACGGTGGACAAAAGCAAGTACAGTATTTCAGTCTACATACGCATTCTGGTAATGATTTGTGGTTACAAATTGTCCAAACTTTATGTATTAGCCCATCACCATCCACAGACCTTCAACGAAGGAAATTCTTTCGTAGTAAGGTTCCCCAGACACTGTATTTCAGGAACAGGGGATGGATGCCCTCAGGGTGATTACAGATGGGTTTTCCTCACAACACATCTATGAGTACAAGATTCTTCAATCCACCTGCCACTATTCATAATGTAGATGGAGCTAGTATAACTAGGGGCTTTGGTCAGTACAGCTGTGTCAGACATGGACTTTCACAATCCCAACCAACAGAAGTGTGTATATTTTTTGATCGGGTATGGCAGCAAGCTGTGAATTCTCAGAAAGCAACAGCTGTTTTTACCTGATCTTATTGCCAGTTTTCATGCGAATCCACTGTGGGATGGGCCGGTTCTGTTTTTGCTTCTTGGCAAGGAATCGCTTGATCTTGAATGTCTTGTGGGACGACTGCGGATGAAAGGATAAAGGGAAGACATTGGAGACACTCTCTCCTATAACAAGTTGCATTCAGAGACCTCCCTACAGATGCAGCCTGAGCCTGTGAGAACTTGCCTACACACAGAAATATCAGTGGTAACTAAAGGGACATGGGTAAACAGATTGAGGTCAACTGGTGCAACGGTGCGTGTGGACACTCTGCATCAGTTTCAACCTATTCAAAGCTGCAGGGGCTCAGTTAAATAGATTTAGTCTCACACTTAAACTAATGCAACCAGGCCTGCCAAACATGGAGCTGACGGTGACTCAGAGGGAGCAGTAGTACCTAAAGGGCTAAGTGGAACTCAGTAACCTGAATCCATTCCACAGAGCTCAGTGGCCATCACAAACACTAAAGACCACAAATCCTGGCTCCAAAGCCAACGCTACCACAAATTTCCCGGGAGCGGGGCGCTATGTACTGGACAGGGAGCGCTCAACTCCCCTCTCCCCCAAGGAATCAAGGCCACGTGTATTAGCCTAGTGCCCCCCCACCCGCCAGCCTGCTTCCCCTACTGAGCTGGGGGTGGGGGGGCAGGTGGGCTCCGCATTGCCCAGCTACGGGCCCCAATCACCTGGCCCTATCCCCGCGGCAGCGGGGTACAGGAGGGCACCGAGGGACAGGAGAGCGCCCAGGACATGGGCTGGCAGCACCGGCCCCAGGACGCTGCGGGTGACTCCAGCCCGGGCGGGACAGTCCCACCCCCACCGGGGGCCTCGCTCGCCGGCCTGAGCCTCCCGCCGGGAAGCCGCTCGGGCGATTCGTGGCTGCCCCGGCTAGGAGCCGAGCCGGGAAGGGGGCGGCCCCTGGCCCAGACGCCCCCCGCCCTCCAAGCCTGTCCCACCCCCCGATTCCACGCGGGGAGAGCCGGGGGGGGGGCCCGCAGGCCCTGGCCCCGGTGCCGGGCGCGGATCGGCCCGCGCGGCAGCGGATGGGGCTGGATTGTCTCACCATGGTGCGGAGCGACTAGCCGGTCACCACAATGGCGGCGCAGGAAAGGAGCGGGTGGGGCTAGGGCGCAAGGGGTGATGGGGAGGCGGCCTCGGGAACAGCGACACCCAGCGCCTCCCCGGGACCACTGCAGCCGCGTCTCTCGCTCACTCCCGCCCCGCGCCTGCTCCGTGTTAAAGAGACAGCGTCTAAGGTGCAGGATCCCACGCTCTCTGAGCAGCCAGAGCTGCTGACACAGCCGCTGTAACCCGCTCCAAAGACCGAGCCCATCTGGCTTGTTCAAACCACCCCCAAGCTGATTACTCTCCATGTTGTTTTGAGGGGACAAGGCCTTAATGCACTCTTGTTTCTTGAGTAAATCTTTTGTTTTCTTAAAATATAACAGAAGCTCAAAAAACTGCTTTTTTGTGGAAATTAAAAAAAGCGATGCATTAGCCGTTTTTAGAAAGTTTGCCTTACACAGTTGTCATTCCATTGTGAACTTCTCAGGGCAGGGGTTGTGTCTGCTGCTGGCACAGGACTTGTGTGGAATCAGCTCTTTCCAACGCGGCAAAGTCACACCATTATTTGGATGGGCAAACTTAGGCCTTGTCTACACGAGCAAGTTTCTATGCAGTAAAGCAGCTTTCTGCGTGTAACTCCTTAGGTGTACACACAGCCAAGCCACTTAGTGCGCAGAAACTGTGCAGTTGCAGCGCTGTAAAAAACCCACCCCAACAAGAAGCGTACAGCTTTCTGCGCCAGGGCTACAGTGTAGACACCCTGGTCGATTATAGCGCTGCGTTTGGCTTCCGGGAGGTGTCCCACAATCCCTGTCCTCGCCTTTCTGGTCATCAGTTTGAACTTGACTGCCCTGCCCTCAGGTGACCAACCATGAGCCCCATCCATTAACTTCCTTGGGAATTTTGAAAGTCCCCTTCCTGTTTGCTCGGTGAGCAGTGGTCTCAGTGCATCTTTCCAGGTGACCATGCCTGCTCCACACACCAGGCAATCCTCCACTTGGAGCAATGCTGAGCTGCTGGACCTCATCAGCATTTGGGGAGAGGAGGCTGTCCAGTCCCAGCTGCACTGCAGCCATAGAAATTATGATACCTACAACCAGATTTCATGATGCATGACAGAAAGGGGCCATGACCGGGTCACAGTACACAGCAGGGTTAAAGTGAAGGAGTTGCGGAACGCCTACCACAAGGCATGGGAGGCAAACCGCCGCTCCAGGGCTGCGCCCATGAGCTCCCGGTTCTACAAAGAGCTGGATGTGATACTCGGTGGCAACCCCACCTCCACTGTGATACTCGGTGGCTTGCGTGCCAGTCAAGACTGGACTGAGCCAAGAGGAGGAAATCTTGGACGAGGATGTGGAGAGGGAGCGGGACAGAGGCAAAGGATGACTAGGAGGTCTGAGATGCATGCAGCCAGGAGCTTTTCTCTACGCTGGAGAAGGCTAGCCAGTCAGAGCTGCTGTAGCTTAGTAAAGTGCAAACAGGAGGGGAGGCCCTGGGTAAGTGGCTTTGATTTTGGGAATTGCTGAAGCGCGTGGATGGGGGCAGGAGGGTTGCAAAAAGCAGGCTTGTGTGTGTATGATGCGCGTACCACCACATGCCTTGTCTGAGCGGCGGAACAGGGTATTAATTGACTCCCTCACTTCACAGAAATCTGCCTCAGAGATCTCCACAAAACTCTCAAGGTGCTACTGGGCAATCCACTGCCACAGGTTCTTCGGCAGAGCTGCTTTGTTTCTTGCCCCATTAAGGGTAACTTTCCTGCACCACTCTGCTGTCACTGGGGGCGGGGGAGGGGCATTGCTGCATACAGGTGAGCCGCCTAAGGGCCAGGGCAGAAGCCCTTGGAGAAGACCCTCCCTTGATTTCTTGCTCATCCTCAGCAGCGAGATATCTTCCATAATAAACACAGCCTGTGGAAAATATGGGGACAGTAATGATTATAAGACTGACACCCCTCCCCACCCCCCCACTGGCTCTCCCCAAGAGCCACATGCCCAGTGTACAGTATGGTCCTGGAACACTGATTTCCCCTGTGTAGGAGCTGGATTTTACAATGTACTATGAGAATTAATGTATGATTTGATTTCATCCGGTCAGCCAAGTCGCATTTTTCAGGAACATAACTACAATGTTAAGTGAGGAGTTACTGTAACATTATGCACTGTAATTTAGCTACAATGATGTATTAGTTTAGTATTCTCTGCTGTTCTCAGCAGAGTACAGGGATTTTTTGTTATTAAGTTTGAGGCCATTTGACAATCTTAACTCATGTACAATATTAATATGAAAAGCTTTGATAAAGGATAAATACAGTTCATGAGATAAGGCTAGCTCTGTCATGCCCCCAAATAGAAAAGTCTCACTGAAGACAAATAAGTTAAAGTATCTTTAATATTTTGAGATATTTTATTGGTTTTAGTACAAAACAGCTAAGGCTAAAACTTGCTCGCTTAAAGAGGATCATTATTGGTGAAGTTTCTTCTGGGCTGTGAAATAGCACTCCAATGGATCAGGAAAGATGAAGCAGAGATTGAAATGGCAAGTTTCCTACTTTTAAGACACTGAAAACAAGAGGGAATGCTTGAAAAGAATCAGACACTCTACACAGCTATACTAAAATTAAAAAAAAAAATTGTTTCAGTGTAGGTAGACAGACATTACATGACAAATTTATCAAAAAAGGAAATACCCAGTAATAACAAAATTATTCCTACACTGCAATCTTTTAGTTCAACTACTTCATTCAGTAACCCACTTCCTACATGGAAGATTCTTTATAAGGCCTCTCCCCACTTTCCAAACTTCCTACTGCTTCTATCTTGAAAAGGTTTGTTCTGCAGAAAACCAGGAAAGGCTTCCCCAGACCACTGATGGCCCAGCTACCATAATCTGAGAACTCTGTTTTAGTGCTAGGATTACACTGTTTATTTGTAACTATTGTAGTCTCAGACTCAAACACCACGCAGCATAGCAATATAGGATGTTAGCTTTTGAGCAAAACTGCAGCTTTAACTTTGCTCCTCTTTTTAAGTGTATCAAACACTGGTTCAGGTCTGCTTTACAAAAAAGCTCTGCTTTTAGATCCAGGTGTCATCCTCCTGACCACATGACTCGCATTTCTCATACGTAAGGCCACAAAAAGCTTTTCTACTTTGCAAACTGCAAACATTTTCTTCTCCATTGTAGTCTGATGCTATGAAAATAAATTCCAATAACAATGAGAACACATTTCAAATTCTGAGGTTCTTTAACCAGAAACATCCAACAGCACAATGTCCCCTCTTCTTCCTTTGTTCCTTCTCTTTGAAGGCACTTCTGGATTGCGTAGTACATGCTCTTTGGCTGCTTCGATAATCAGAACACATAAGGCCTGTATGCTAATCACTCCTCTTCTTTTGTATTACTGGTCTCACTTTCCTGTTTATCTGCTCCTTGGTCCACAGACTTTGTAGCCATGTCTTCATAAGAACACAGTCTACTTCGACTTCTAACTCCTGGCTGGTATAGCTGCATTGCTGGACGATCCTGAAATAAATCAGAAGGTATCAGACAGTATGATGCTTTGGCTATTAGACAAATTCCTATAATTTCTAAAGGGATGATACTAAAAAAAGGCAAATAGAACACCACACAGACCACTTCAGACTTTCCCAAAATATTATTAATTATTCAGTGACACCCAACATTACAAGTTCAATGACAAAGAGTAACTGCTCAAATAGCACAGATGAGAATGCTGCTTTAGATTATGCACCCAAGTATTTTAAAGCATTCACAAGGATAATATTTTAAGGAACAATTCAGTTTGTCCTCTTCAAGCACATGAGCAAATTTCAAAGCTTCTCCCAAGGAACATTTTTTAACTAAAAACATGAAACAAACACACACACACACACCCGTAGATGCTGCAAATGCAGAATTAATGCACATCTAAACTGGATGTATTCCTATCAATGGAAGGAATACATATTTTGGGGGTATTTTGCATATAGAACAATAAGTACATTAACATGGGATCTGTGCCATGACACTGCATAGCGGTGCCTTATACCTGATGCAGCAGCCTCTGCAGTGTTTGGAGAAGGTATAATAGGGGTGGCTGCTTGCTATATAATTTTCTCTCGCTTACGGAGATGTACTTTCTGGCATTAACCCACACGCAGCATCTGCAAGAATCTGGTCCTACCATATCAGTTCTCTGGTGACAATTTAAAAGCCAACATTTATCTGCTGGCAAAACCAGGACAGACATTTATTAACTTTTGTTCAGAACTTGCCAGTAACAGCTGGACTTGTACATAATTCCTACAAAGGCAACAAGAAATTTGCCAAGACTAAGTTCATCTTAGCAGCAGCAAAGCTTACAAGATCTGTCTATTTTTCCCCTCATACACGATGGCAAAGTTTACAGTTGAATTATTATATGAAGGAGAAAAAATTTCAAAAAGGTAAGAAATAGCATGACCCTCCCCCTTAATTAACATTTACTATAAAACCACAAACATGACCTTATAGAATGGGTGTGAATTTAAAGAGCCAGCACCTTATTTCTGATGCGATCTCTCTTAGCTGCATCCTCTTTTTTGTCATCTTTGGTTATTTTCTCAGCTTTTTCTGTGTTGCCTGTAAAGTCTGGAAGCTCACTTTTCCTTCCTTTCTCTCTGAATGAGTTTATCTCCTTTTTCACCTCTTCCTCTCTTTTTCTAAAAACTTTTTCTTTCTCAAAGCGTTCCTTCTGCCTACGACGCTCTTCATCTTGGCGTCTCTGTTTCTCCCGCTGCAGTCTCTCATATTCTCTCTCTCTTTCAAAGTCTCTCTCCCGGTCCCTGTAATCTTTTCCATATTCATCTTCAGATCTGTATGAAAAACACAGCAAGAAATTAAGCTTAGAAGACTGGATAATCAAAATCACAGATCTGTGTAATCAATACTACAGCTCCAAATTTGCATCAATGTTGTCAGACACGGATTTGTAGATTTTAGACAAGAGTTAAAATATCCTAGAAGCCTACAGTCATATTTTACTACAGATTCAGAAATAACTGCAGTGAGGATGTAAACCTTGATAATGAGCGAGAACACTACAGATAGGAAGTCCCACAGTTCTAGTCACAAAGCGGACTAACTCCCTCTGTGGCCTTGGAAATTACTTAAATCTCTGCCTCATTCCTCTGACACATGGGGGAAACCCACACCTGTATACATCACATGGATGTTGTGAGGATTAGTTATTGCAGTATATGTCATTCTGGGCTGCATTCTGGCATAAGAATGGCCATATTTTTCCTTCCTGCCAAGGCCTCTAAAGGGATATGCATTATGAGTATTGTGGACTTAAAGTGACCCCTATGCTCTCAGAAGCTGCTATAAGTGCAGGCTATGGAGCTGTTCTCATTTATGCTAGAGACTGTGCAAGCCCAAAGCCAGCCCCAGAATGTGGAGGACACAGAGGTGGCTTAAAGCCATCTTTGCCCAATGGCTGTGCCTCCTGAATTGGGCTCCATTTGTAAATATCTTCAAATGAAAGCCCAAGTGTTTATGATAAAACACTAAAATTTGTCTATTAAACGAACAGATATGAAATAGTTCAAGTCCAGATGGACCCACCCCACTCCCCGATCATGAGTACACTCTCCCAGACAATTCAGATCAGAAACATTTCTTCATTTGAATTCAAAAGCTGTTCCTGGACAGCGCAGCCCAAGTTTTAAATTTCTAGTCTAGAAGGGCTGGGGTTTTTTGGTAAGTCGTATATACTAAGTACTGGAATACTAACTTTTTTGCCTTCTCCTCTTTAGTCTCTCCATCGGATCGTTTGGCTGACACGCTGATTAGTGCGCCAGCAGCCTTTTCTTCCCTCACAATTTCTTTTTCCAGTTTCTTGAACTTTTCCTTTTTCTCCAAGTCTCTTTCATCTCTCTCTGGTTTCTTAAGTAGCTGTGAAGAAAAACACACATTCTACTTGATCAAAGGCTCATTCTAATTCTACTCTGCAGCACAGTATAATTTAGCTACTCAGTTGAAGTGACTTCTGCTTAACATGAGAAATATACATATATGTAACTAGTTATTGCCATACTCCCTATGCTCAGAGGTAATAATGTCTACAACTAAAATAATGATCCCAAACCCAGAATAGGATTCATTTCCCTGTACAGTATGAGAACAAGATCAAATACTGAAGATGGTAATCAAATATAGCCAGTTACCCAGATTACATTAAATTCATATGTTCTGGGGAATGAAAGCATATACACAAGTATTCAAATGAAAATTGTTTATTCAAGATAAAACTAAAGCAACTAACAATCAACATACAGATCCTTACTGTACTTTAACAAAAGCATGAATATTATGAAATAACTAGTCTACTCCTTCAAGATCATGAATTACTCTTGGATAAGTATTCAGTGAACACATTTTGTATGCAGCTTTTACAGGGAAGGGGGAGGAAAACAGCCTATAACAATGACATGTTCTGTACCTTAATCTTTGGTTCGTCCTTTGATTTATCCCTTTCTTTCTCTGGGCATTTATCAACTTTCTTCAGTTTTTCTGCTTCTTTTCTCTTCCTTCTTTCTTCTTCTTTCCATTTCCTCCTTTCTTCTTCTCTTTGTCTTTTTCTTTCCAGTTCCCTTCTTCTCCTCTCCTCTCTTTTTTCTTCTCTCAGTCTCTGGAAGGGGGGGGGGGGGGGAGAAAAAAAAAAAAAAAAATCACATATTTCCCACATTAGAAAAAAAGTTACTTTTAAAAGTTCCATAAGATACCATGTCCTGAAATGACACAAAATTCTCTAAAATATACAGCTTTATAAAACATTTGTGTCTCCCGTTGCATCCTACTTTTAAGCAACTTATTGAAAGCTTTAAAATTCACTGGAGCAGCATTATTATGTATATTTCAGATATCATTAACTCCATATTTTAATGGAAGTTAAAATGAAACACCCACACATCAGAACCCACCCTAAAAAGTTACACACCTGAAAGAAAAATAGGTTCATAGGAGAGAAATCACCAAGAGGGCATTAAATTAAATCCTGGTAGCTGCAAACAGTATGTTAAACAGAAGATGGCTTGCCAGTCACACAGCTGCAGCTCACATCGCTCAGTATTCCACTGTGACAAGGACTGTTATTAAACCACCATGTTAAGCAAAATATAGCTTGATATCAATACTCTGGAAGCCACTATCAATCCCTGCTAAACACACAGTTTGTTAAGCATGAACCCAGGCTATACCAAGTATTTGGGATACAGAGTACAAGAAAACCCCACCCCATTTTAAACAGGATTATAATCATTAGACTAAGGCCCTGTACACACTATATTTTTCCTCTGCAAGCATGTCCAGCTGCACTGCTAGATCTGCTCCACTACACTTACCATCTGCTGAGCAGCATGGATTCAGTTAGGCAGCAGGATGCAGTCCCGTAGCAGAACAATCAGTTGTAGGATGTTTCCCTTCCCTCTCTTCCCCCCCCCCCCCTTTTTTTTAAGTTTCACAACTTTCTTCTGAGGAGAGAAGGAAGCAGGAAGTGCTCCCACCTACCTGAACAATTCTGTAGCTCTGGGAGAATTATTTAAAACAAGGTCTTTAGATCCATTTACCACAAAAGAAAATCTTACTATACAGACATCACTGTACGTACACAAGTTCTAAGAGCAAGTTATCAAAAACTGTAACCAAAAAGATTCTACATAGATTATACAGAGAAATCATACCTGTTTGTTTTTCAAGAAGTTCAGAAGGGGAGTTGTCTTTTTAGCTAAATAAACATTAAGAACATAAATATTTTTGCCTTTACAAATATCAAGATATGTTTGCATAAGTTAGATGGGAAAGACTTGTTCTCAGTCTATATTAAGTTTTGCTCAGTTTCAGTCTTACTTGTACCACAACTTCTCACACTCTTCTTGAAATGTATACTCTTCATTTACTTATAAATGGCTATGTCTCCTCATTTAATGTTTTAGCTAAACTAAATGAGTCGTAACTTACATTTATATATCACTTCCCATCCCACAGTACTAATATTAAAGGAGCCAATGCACCCATCACTGGAATTTAACAGCACATAACACAGGTGTTTAGTATAGGTAGCGGAGAAGATTACTATATGAAATTTAAACTAAGAAGAGGGACTGGAGCAGGGATGAATAAAGTAGATCTTCACTAGTAGTGTTACTCTAAGGACTTAATGATACTAAATAATCTAAAAAGGAATGTAGAGTCCCCAAAGTTCAAAAGTCACAAACCTACAAAATATTGTACTTCGTATGTCTTCCTATACTGTGAGAAGAGGTTCACATACAATATATCAGTTTTCATACCTATTAACTCTTTGTTTCTTGCCTCTATTTCCTCTAGTAGTGTTTCAGGAGTCGATGTTAACTTTTCATCATCTGCACTGTAACTTTCCAAAAACTTCTTATACTCTGGGTCTGGAGAGAAAGATTGGTTTGTGCTACAAAATACACATACTGACCCCTCTTCTGGGAATTTCAATCGTCACTCTGCATTTTCAAAACTTATGAACAAACAAGAATGGGTTATATAGTCTTATGAGCTGCTGCCCGATATTTATCTTTAGCCAAGTTAAATCTAACTCTGAGGCAGGAACCATGTCTGGTTATGTTTTGTAAAGTACACAACTAATAGTAATAATGCAAGATTTTAACAACTTTATTCCATAGTGTGCTTATTAAGAGATTTTATTGGTTTTGCAGTTGTCTGTTTTTCTTCTAGTGTACCAAGCCTACAAAAGCTAACTGGGACAAGGACCATCTTTTCATTACATGTGTGGGTGTTACCTAGTACAACAGAACCCTATCCCTTGCTGGGGACCACTAGGTACTATCATAATATCAATAATACCTTAAGTACTTTTGTTATAGTAAAACAGACAAGTTATTTTGAAAAACAGAAATGTAATTGTTGCACGTTAAGTGTTTAGTATCAAACATATTGTTACTCTAGGACACCACACAGTCAAAATAAATTCAAATTTCTGTTATCAGATACCATGCACCACATAAATCTCCACATATGCATGCATACAAACAAACAACCCTAGTAGTTATACCATCATCAATAGTCCCAGTTTTGGCATCCTTTTTCTTATTCTTCTTTTTTGCAGATTTTTGGAAAGGTGCAAATTCTACTATGGCAGCATACTCCTGACCTGTTAAATGTAAAATGTTAAAACTGTTTAATCACCAAGGTAAAAAAAAAAAAAAACACACTAAATTCCTGACAGTGTATTATATTGGGGGGACGGGACAGGACGACACTGGGGCGTGTTTATAAGAAACAGTACTAGAACAGATAAATAGATAGTAGCTATGAAATTTATGTTTATATATCTGACCACATGACAACATTATTTATAACCCTTTCATCGCAAGAGGATCTCAAAGCACTTTCCAGCCTATACACAAAATACATACAAAACTACATTAAAGGAAAGTTAAAGTTGCCAAATGTAATACTCAAAAGTTAGGAAATGCCAGAGCTAAGGTTGCTCAGGCAACCTTAATTCAGCATCCCAATAGTTATGCATTATGATCACATGCTGTTCCCCCCAATTCCTGCTTCATTCGGGGGGGGGGGGAGAGGAGAGAGAAAGAGAACACTGCGTGTTCAACTGGGAATATGGAGAAAGGGGAAATTTCTGTTCTTGACAAAATCCAATATGATTGACAAAAAGTCCATGCAGAACAGAGAAGTAGTTTCAGAGAATCTAGGTAATTTAAATTGATGCTTGGAACATGAAGCTGGCCACTCAATGCCGTCTGAATAACTGAGACTTCAATTGTCATAGCTCCATTTCACAAAAAGCAACTGGTTGGTGGAAGATGAAAAATAAAAAAAGTAAAAGTAAAATCTCTCTAAAAAAAATAAAAATATATCTATAAAAATATCCAAATAAAACAAGAGTTTCAGGTGAAATTCTGGCCCCACGGAAGTCAATTGGAAACAGTGTGCAAGACTCCCATGGAGCCAGAATTTCACCCAGAATGTGTGTGTTAGAGGATATCAGCCTTAGTATTATAAGGCATTAGTATTAGGTGCTGAATGCTCCCAACAAACCACATAACATACTGAAATGACAGTTAACTAAACTTAGATTATATACATGTAAATTACTAATGGGCTAGAATTCCTCTTAAGCAGTTTGTTTAGAAAATTTAGCACTACTACTGCTTTAAAAAGGGGATTTTATTGTTATTATTTTAAGCTGTATTTAAAATTTACTACAAAAAGTGTCATGAAGTTTACGAAAAGACTACATGCAAGCACCATGTATTTAATCTCGATATATGGTGCCCAAGTATAGTTATGGCACTAAAAGAAAAAAAAATTGGGACTAAACTACCTGACAATCTCCTAAATCTCATTTAATATCTCTGACATACAAACATTTTAATATATAATGAAGTTTTATGTTTACTTGCCTTTGTGATCAACAAAAACATAACCATCAAAGCGATCCCTGAACAGTACTATGTCTTCTTGGTTTTTAAAGTTGATGTATGCTCTGGAAAACATGTGAGGATACAAACTGCAAAAGGACAAAAAAATAGCAATGTGTAAGGAAATGAAGCTGGCTAGTTGCTGATGATTTTAACTATACACACTATAGACAAGTGTAAATTAATTGACATACTAGAGTTACATGAAAAAATTGAAACCTGAAGTGTTGTACCTGGAATCGTTAGCAAAGAATTCAAAATAGTCATGTTCAGGCAAAGGCTGAAGATGTTCTTCAAGTTGTTCCTTAGTCAAGCTGGGAGGCAAGCGTCGAATTACCACCTTAAACACAAGAATTTTAAGAGCGTAAAATTACTGTCTGCCCCTGACTTTATTTCAGAGGTTACTTGAAAGATGCCATAGGATAACAAAGCTAAGTCAACAACTATGGCTCATGTCAAGATTGTGGAAATCTATTTCACCCAGCCTGGCTTCAATACCATTTTTATATCCTAAGTACTGAGTGACCTAGAAACATCACAATTCTTCGAGAAAGCACAGAAAGACTGGGGGCCTGATCCAGCACCCACTTAAGTCAAAGAAAAGACTCCTCCTCACTTCCCAAGGGGAGCAGTCTCAGGCCCTAAGTGATTAGAGCAAGGAATTCAAAGGCAAGATTCCGGAGGTCCGTTCCCTAGTCTACCACTAACTGCTACTTTGATCAAGTGACTTGGGCCAGACATTTCCCCCGTGGTGGCCAGTGGGTCCGGATGCCACCCAGGCCTTGGTTCTGCAGAGTGCTGCCAACACTCAAAGCGCCACGCGAGCTCAGCACCTCCCTGAGCAAACCATCAGATCTCGGCATCTCAGGCTGGGCACCGAAAAACGAGACACCGCCAGATACTCGCCCGGGCGCCCTGGCCCCATCCCCAGAACAGCGTCCACAGGCCCCGTCCGGGGGTTGAGGCGCTGGGGGTCTGCGGCGCTCCGCCCGGGCCCGGGGCTCTACTGAGCAGTCCGCCAGGGGCCAGGGCAGGCGGCAGGAGCGCAGGCCGGGGCACGGGAGAGGGGGAAGCGCCGCCAGCCCCAGCCCCGAGCTAGGGAGCCTCAGTCCCAGCGGTCCCGGGGGCCGCTCCGCCAGCGCCAGGCGAGGGGCTGCAGCCGCCCCCCCGGCAACGCGGGACGGCCCCGCCCCCAGCCTCACCTTGCTGAGCGTCTCCTTCTTGTCCTTAGGCCGCTCGGGCTCCCCGCCCCCCCGGAGATCCAGGGGGCCCCCGGGCGCCCGCTTCTCTTTAGGCCTAGTGTTCTCCTTATCCTCCTTCATCCCGTTCTCCGGCCCACCGAGCCACGCCCCCTCTCGCCCATTGGCCACTGCGCCTCTCGCGGGATCACAGCCTTAAAGGGCCACGAACCGCCGCCTGGCGCCGGAGGCGCCTCCTCACGGATACAGCACCGTGGGGATGGGAGTTCCCGGCATGCACTGGGGCTAACGGGGGCGGCCGCTCCCCGCATGCGCTCAGTAGGCAGGTCATCGGGGCCACGGGAAGTTCCCGGCAGCCGTGGCAGGCCTAGCGGGACGCCAAGCGCCGCCACCGCCACAGTCACGGGGGGGGCCTAGCCCCGCCCTATCGCTGTCGCACTCGTGACACTTCAGCGGCCTTTGCCTCGGCACAATGGCGGCGGCGCGCCGTCGCGATGCATGATGGGTAGGCGGTGCCCTGAGGCGGGGCTAATGCGCAGGCGACTTGGTGCTGCTTGCGCGTGCGCGTTTGCAGGCCTGGGGTCGGCTGTCTAGCGTAGCGGTCGGTAGCGGCTCGAGCGGACGCAGGGATGTGGTACGAGATCCTGCCCGGCGCGGTCGTTATGGGCCTGTGCCTGACCATCCCCGGCGTGTCCCTCATCCACATCCACAGATACCTCAACGGGGGCAAGGTCAGGGCTGGGCCGGCTCCGGACGGAAAGGGAGCGGGGGTGGGGGAGTGACTCGGGGGGGCAGCTGGCGCGGGGGGCGGACCCCTTGCCCGGTGCTTGTGCACAGTGAGCCGCTGGAGTCCAGCAGAGAGCGCCGCTCCCCTTCCCCCACCCCGGGAACTACTTGGGGCCTTGTCCGAGCCCAAGCTCGCTGTCCAGGCCAGGCGGCACGATCCTGTCTCCTGTGCGGCACCCTCCTGCTCCCCTCTCCGCGCCGTGTCCAAGCCCCGTTCTCCCAGCGCGGTGACACGTTGCTCTGTGTGTGCAGGAAAAGAGAATCGCTCGCCAACCCTACCAGTGGCACCTGATGGAAAGAGACAGGCGACTGTCGGGGGTTAATGAATACTATCGGTCCAAGGTAAATTCCTTCCAACCTAGGACGGAGCAGATCTATAAATACAAGGCAGCTGAACTCTGCAAAATCCAAACGCCTCAAAATTCAACTAACCAGGAGCTGAAATTGACAGTTGTGGGTCTCTGCATTGAGCACTAGCTATTGTTTGAGTTGAGTTAGACCCTTGGCTGGGTTCTGCTCTCTGTTACTTCAGTCTTGATGGTAACTGAGGGTAGAACTTAGCCTGCTAACTGGTGCAGACAACAAGTGCTTATTTTTAATGCATTGTCATACAGCTAATCAGTGGACTGGCTTGCTTTGATTGGTTCAAATCTGGATGCAATCTTCTGGTGCACACCCCAAGCCTGACTCTTTTAGCATTAGTGTCTTTTCATTCTCACTTCATATCTTCAGTGAAGACTTGCTACTGCTACTACTTAAAGGTGACATGCAAAGGGCTTTTTTGAGTGCCTGTATTTGTTGCTTTATAACATACAAAGAAAGCTTGTAATATTTTATTAGAAATGGTCTGGTCTGTTTTTTCTAGGGGTCTCTGGGATGTTTCTAAGCATGTGTATTATGAGCTGTCACATTAGTAGAAGGGGTTGGAATGTTTAATTTGTTACATCCTTTCCCCAAGCCTTATTTAGTCATTAAAGTGAAATTAGGGGTTAACACAAACAAATTTTAAACAGTGACAAAATTCCTTTCCCTCTGAATTGCTCAACTTTTCACTCTCCACTAAAGTGATGTAATTTCACTGGTTCTGCAGTTAGCATAGAGTGTTCCTGAGCAGACAAGACCTAAATGTCTAATGTAAAGGACATTCCTTTGAAAAACCTTTTCAGATCACCTTCAGTCATAGTACGTAGGGATGGTATAATTTGCACAGGGTCGCCTTGATGAATTGGGTCTCTTCCCTTTGTAACTTCTGTGATGCTATCACTACAGTTTGCTCAGTGCTATCACCCCACCCTTAATTGTGCTTTTGTGATTCTTTCCCCCCATTTTTTTTAAGAATAGCATCGTCCGAAAAACATGCAAACTTCTTATTCTGCTGAGGAATTTATGGTTAGAAAAAGATGTGTACTTTCTGAGAAATGTAAATGGGGCCGTGAGATTGGTGTAAATTCTGTATGGATAGTTAAGAGTGTTTCACTTTTTATTTTTCAGGGATTGGAGAACATTGACTAAGAAGCAACTCACTGAGTGAAGAGTCCTAGTTCTTGTACAAAGCAGTTTAGCTCCAGTAAACATGCATGTATATTTGATGCAATGTGTTATATGTTGCACATAAACCTGGAAAATGAAAGTGGGTTTCTGCACTTGTTTTATTGGTATAACTTTAAAAGGTGTATATTGAAAATAATACAGCCAACCATAAACATTCTGTAGTCAAACATACAAAAAGGAATACACAACAGAGGTAGGCAATTACCCTAAAGTTATAGAAGTGCTTCCAGCTAAGAAACTTGCAACAAAAGTTAGTGGCGTGCCAGAGAGAGTTAAATCTATTTTATTTATATACCTGTTATTTTCAGTAACTTGTATAACTCTCTGCAGATACACTAATAGACTACTAAGCTGCTGTAAATAGCAAAACTAACCATTTATTGAGGTTGTGTCCCCCCTCATGAAATTGGCATGCAATGAGTAATGCTAAGCCTTAATTTCTTATTCATTACAAAGCTGTTAAAAGCATCAACTTCTGCTGTCACATAATCAATTATAGGATACCCTTCTCAAAAAGGAGAGGTTGCAAAGAATAGTAGCAATACAGTCATTACTTAAAGGGCTGGTCCACACTAACCCCCCAGTTCGAACTAAGATACGCAACTTCAGCTACGTGAATAACGTAGCTGAAGTCGAAGTATCTTAGTTCAAACGACAAGGTACTTACCGCGGGTCCACACGCGGCAGGCAGGCTCCCCCGTCTACTCCGCGTACTCCTCTCGCGGAGCAGGAGTACCGGTGTCGACGGCGAGCACTTCCGGGATCGATTTATCGCATCAAGAGAAGACGCGATAAATTGATCCCAGAAGATCGATTGCTTACCGCCGAACCCGGAGGTAAGTATAGACGTACCCAAAGAAATGACCAGCCTTTTAAGAAATTATTTCTGGAGTGTACCACTACTATTAATGTACCATTAGCGAATACAATGCCATTGTCTTAATTCTGAAAGATGTTTTGTACTATTGATGTATAATGAAAAGGTATACAGATATAGTAGTGATATCCTGATGTGTACCATTCCTTATACAAATCAAATGAGTTTGATCTTATATAGGTTCTAATTTAGAATGCAGTTGAAGTCATGGCGTTAATTTTGTTTTTCAGATCAGTTCTAGCTGCTCTGAGATTTCACTATGGCTTTGTACTACTCAACTTTAACCTTAGTCCTAGTCTACATACAGATCATGTAATATTAAAACGGCATTGGTTAGGGTTGTGAGAGTAATACCCAGAGAGAGGACATTGTTATACTTATATAACGTGCCTGTAGGGAATAAGCTGTACCAGTATAACTGTGCACTAGAGGGTTGCATTACTTTAACTATATTGGTATAGTTTAAAAACAGTATAACGTGTGTAGACAAAGGCCTTAGGCTTCCAGAATCCACTTCCTGGCAGAAGCAAATGCAGTGACTGTATACAGGGTCTGTATTTGTTCCTTAGCCATTTAATAGATCCTCTGAAACGCCAACACTTAATATAAGTAGCCAGGGAAAAGCAGTAAGTGGAAAGACATCATTGTCACAATAATAACTGTCCATGTAAGCTTCTCAGCACCACATGTAGCTTTAGAATCTGTAGTTTGGAAAACAAAATAAATGTTGTCTTCAATTTACCATTAGGGGTGAGGCAACATTGATACTAGTGTGGTCCTCAGTTTTCCCCCCCTTTAACCCTGTTTTAACTACAGGGAAAAAGCAACGAGTAGTTGCCACTTGTTCACTTCTTATTCACAATCAGTCGCAGTACCAAGTAATCACTGTTGTTTTTCAGACAACCAACATCTATGGACTAACAAAGTCTAAGCACAGCTGATTGTGGAAGCAATGAACAGGGCATTAATTAACTTCTAAGAAACTTTTCAAACTACTTTGTGTTTACCACATGTTTTATACAACGATTGAGATGTATGCATTGTATCTAGATTAGATGGAAAAACCAAAGCACAGAGAGGTTGTATGACGTGCCCCAGCTCCCACAGTACGTCAGTTGCAAAATGGAGCACAGCGAGACAAGTGCCTAGTCTCCTGCTCTAGTCATTTTATACTACTACCCTGATGTGTTAAGCATTAATAACCTGATTATTAGTCTGACAACCATATCAAATGACTTGCTCACTCTCCTTCCTCACTCCTTGTCTGTTCTGTGTAGTTGCAGGTTTTCAAAGGGTGTACAGTTGCCTTGTGTCCTTACTGCTAACTTGAGACATTTTGTGTCTTGCTTTTGAATCTCTTTCTGACTGATAGAGCCAATCCTATCATTTATTATGTTGGTTTTAAAATATAATGCTCCTGTCTCAGGGAAGCCATTCCATGAGTCAGACTAGAATGGGTTAACTACATTTCAAAAGTGTTCTTGCTGTTAAACCAAGCAGCTACAGAATAAATGAATACCAATAAAGATAGCTGATTTTTGGATGAGACACACTTAATGTAAAATTTGGATACTACCTGTGCTGTTTGTGTCAAAGCACTTCAACTAGATAGTGCTTTTCTGGTGAATTATCTAGGCTTGATGCTTAGCTAACTCAGTGGAGATAGTTCCAAATCCCTTCACTCTAGGTATTTGAATTAAGTATGATTGGTGGTTTCAGATCTTGTCTTTTCCACTTAAAATGAGACCTCATACCATCCCTCAAACTCTTATACAATTCCCCTATACAGTCAGCGTTTAAGACCTGCAGGGACCATTAGATCATCTAGTCTGACCTCCTGTATATCACAGGCTACCACCATCACACAAGCCACCTGCATGTAGGGGCAGATTATAAATCATTAGTACTGTTTCTCTTATGTAAGACAAGAACAACATTTAACTGCACACTAAAGCCCTGGATTAATGATCCCTAAGCAAGTTGCAGTGACAATCTCTAAAATAATGGCCTTTAAATTGTTCTTCCTAATGAGCAATCAGCTTAAAACTGAGCTTTTGTTTTTGTATTGAAGAGGAGGTGACAGTATCTTACTTCCTTTTATTTACTCAATAACTCCAAGCACATTACAAACATTAATTAATTAAGCCCCAGTAGCTGTGTGAGGGGGGCATTGCCTATCCTTGTTTTACTGGTGGTGAAACTGAGGCACGGTTTACATGAATTATCCATGATCACGTGCTGAGTCAACAACAGAATTTAGGAGGCCTGATTCCCACTCCCTGCCTCAAATGTGTCATAAGTAGCCACCTAATTAACAATGTTGGAGCCACTTTAGCAGACATCTCTTCCTGCAGAGTTTGGATCACTACTGCTAGGCTGTGTTACTGAACAGGCTAGCATGCTATATGCCGGGGTGGCCAAATTTACTGAGCCTCTGAGCCACATACAACAATCTTCAGAAGTTCAAGAGCCAAGGCACACCTGCCAGGGTTTGGGGCCTCAGCCCCATGGGAGGTACCTCTTGGGACTTCAGCCCCACTATCTGAACCCTGAGCTCCCACAAGTGCACCCCGAGACCCAGATTTGAGCAACTACAGATATTAAGTCTTCATATAGTTAACACTGAAAGAGATATAGGGGCTCATTTTTTGTCATAGGCTGTGCAATAGCATACATGGCAACCTTTTCAGTAGGGTTACATTAGTATGCATCATTTGGCCCTCAATGTAGTTAAAGTTTCCTGATTAGCTGAGTTGAGAGGAAGATACTCATTCCCTAGAAGAACCAGAAACAAAACCAGCTCTCTACCCTTCTGATGACTTCGATATTTGCATACACAAATTCCTGTTGGTGCAAGTTACTCTTCTACCCCTTTCCAGATGGAGGAGAGAGTCAGCTCTTACAGTAACTAGTCTATTTTTTCTTCTCTGTGCAAGACTCCCATTAGCTTAGTAGCAGTGGCTGACAGTTTACTCCATAACACGAGTCATATCTCCATAGGAGACCTGGGATATTTCATTTAGTTCTGTGCACCATGTTAGCAGAAATATATTGTCAGACTGGAAGGAGTTCAGAGAAGAGCAACAAAGATTATTAGGGGGCTGGAGTGAATGATTTAGGAGGAGAGACAAAGAGCTACATATGTAAATTCCAGCTTAGTGAACTGAACTGATCCCTTGTATGGTGAAGAAAAATAATTTCAAAGCAAACTGCACGCAGACTAGCACTCTCTGCATTTCTGATACATCAGTGGCTTTTCTCTTGATGCATCTTTAACTCCTATTTGCATTAATGGCAGTTAGCTACACAATCCGCTGCCTTAAATTGGAATGATAAATTCACTAATTACTCACCTCTCCAGATCACTTTGGATTTGACACCGAGCCAATAAATTTCACGAGACTGTGCTACAGTTGCCCTGTTCAAAAGGAAAAAGAACAGTGGAACATGGTTATAAAATAGGAAGACTTCCCCCTCCCACCCTACAAAGATATTCCAGTAACTCATTGTAGCCCTTCTGTGATGGCGTTGCTGCTTTGCTCATAAATTCATTAGCAAATGGTAATGTAAGCCTAACCTCATGGAAAAGGGAATACACCCTGTCTTGCACACAGAAAAGTGAGCTGCGGCTGACAGTTTCAGATGGCTTCCCAACTGAAGATCCTTCCACTCCCAGAAAGGATCAAAATACTATTCCTGCAGTATAGCAACATTCTTCTGCTTTAATATCATTTGTAATCCGAATAGTGTGAATCAGCGCTCATTAGTTATGTGCAGCTTTCACTTGTCTGGGGAGACCCTGCTGCTGATTGAGCCCCTAATGTATTATGGGTGACATTTTCAGAAGCACCTAAGTGGCTTAGGAGCACAAGATCCTGAAAGTCAATGGGGCTTATGCTCTGGAATCACTCAGGTGCTTTTGAAAATCCTGCCCTGTATTAAACAGCTGAACCTTTTATGACTGTATTAATGTATAGGTAGAGAAAAGAGAAGAAAACATGTTTGAGATGTCCATTGGAGGGGGAGGGGATTTCATTTAAAAGGGAACTCTCTCATGAAGCTGCTTACATGAATGTAATAACGTCAGGGCAACCAGAGATTGGGGGCAGCCAGGTATAAGTGGTCAGGCTTGTTTTTAACTCGGTGTTAGAATGAGTAATCGCACCTTTTGGGTTTCCAGAGCACTGCAAAAAAAAAAAAAAAAAAAAAAAAATCAATCCATGTATTACTTGTTTAGTTACAGTGAATAGTGTACCTGTCACACACGTCCCCAAACTGTGGAGAGTGCTCCCTTGCGGTGATACAGAAGGAACATGGGGGGGGGGTGTGCGGTGGGCCTTGGGACCAGCCCCCATTGGGGGTGGGGAGGGAATACCATCCAACCCCATTCTGCCCCCAACTCCGGCCCCAGCACTGCCCCCTGCCAAGGCCATGACTTCGACTCCTGGCTGTGCCTCCTGCTTCCAGCCCCACGGGACAGATTGCATTACAGGTAAGGGGGTTTACCACAGAAAAAGGTTGGGGACCACTGCACTAGGTGCATGTACAATCAATTTGTAAACAAACAAACAAAAAAACCCTGTTTCCTTAGCAACGATAACATCCCCCTCCCCTCACCAAAAGCGTGGGTAATAGACATCCCATGCAACATGCCCTGATCAATCCAAATGCTCCCACCCTGCTCCAGCTCCTCTGAAGTCACAGGACTCAAGCACTGGCCCCTCCATCCCCCATTCTGAGGTATCCAGAGAGCTGTGATATGAACAGGGAGCAATGGAGAAAGAAATCCACGCCCTGCAAACCTGTGGATTCTGCCCAGCTGCATGGAGGGAACCCCTTCTGTGCCCTTCCAAGCCATGGCAGCACAGCTGGGCTGTATTGGCTGAAGGTCCTTGGTTGCACTCAGTTGCAGCGAGCACTGGGAGAGTTAACGGTTACTCAGGTCGCATCACATCTGTGTGTAGTCTCCTACAACTCACAGTGTGTATGGGGGAGAGGGAGGCAGAACATGCTGCTTTCCTGGGGATCCAGCTTGGCTGCTCCACCGCTGAGATCCCAGGACAGCTCATTGTGTCTCTTGTTTCCCAGCTGCCTTTGCTGTTGTATGTTGTTTCTCTCGCTACATTAAATTTCACAGTATTTATTAAGCCACGATGCCCCATCAGGCTAGAAATGAGAAGCTCCCAGCTTACCTGTAAGAACTTAGTGTTATTGGCAGGATTCTGCCAAGTGCCAAGTGCAGCAGTGGAGCCAAAGGTGCGAGCTTCCAGCAACAGGCCTCTGTATCCCGGCCCTACAATCTGAACTGGAAGATAGTATATGCATCTATCGCATGTTAGTCACCCATAGCTGGGGCTGGCTTCTCAAACCGTCACTACCATTAATAACTCCAAAGATACACCAGATATATCTTTGCACATCAGCTGTGTCTGCAAAACTAGCCCAGTGATTAGCGTGCCAGCCTGGGACTTAGGAGACGCCGGCTCAATTCCCTCTTTGCCACTGACTTCCCATGGCACCCTGGGCTGGTCACTTAGTCTATCTGTGCCTTGATTTCCCCAGCTGCAAAACAAGGATGATAGTAGCTCTCTGTCTCACAGGGGTCTGCAAGTTGGGTGAGGTGCTCCTTTACTATGGGCCTGGGGCAATATGAGTACCACAGAGACTGACTGTGAAAAAGGCTTTAGATAAAATTCGGCCCTCAGGAAACTGGGTGCCGCTCCCATTGAGATTATAAGCAGGGCTAGGGACAAGGAGCAAGTTTTCCTCTTTAGCTTGTTCTCGCAGCTCCTGGGGCTTCTGAGCAGGCACCTAAGGCTTCCTCCTCCTTTCCTGGCCTTGAACAGCAGCACATTCCACCTCCAGGAGGCAGCCAGGGTGTACAAGGAGACAGGACCTGAATACGCCAGGCAGTGATGGTCACCCCTTCTCAAGAAAAGATACATTAGAATTGGAAACAGTGCAGAGAAGGGCAATGAAAATCATGAAAGGCATGGAACAGCTTCCAGATGAGGAGCAATTAAAAGGACTGGGATTGTTCAGCTTAGAAAAGAGAACTGGGGGGATCTGATAGAGGTCTATAAAATCATGACTGGTGCGGAGAAAGTGAATTGGGAAGTGTTATTTACCCCTTCACTTGACACAAGACCCAGGGGTCACTCCGTGAAATTAACAAGCAGCAGGTTTAAAACAAACCAAGGCAAGTATTTCTTCACACAACACACAGTCAACCTGTGGAACTCGTTGCCTGGGAATGTTGCGAAGGCTGAAAGTATAACTGGGTTCAGAAAAGAATTAGATAAGTTCCTGCAGGATAGGTCCATCAATGGCTATTACCCAAGATGGTCAGGGACACTATTGCAAGCTTTGGGTGTCCCTAAACCTCTGACTATTAGAAGCTGGGACTGAATGAAACTGGATGGATCATTCAAAATTGCCCTGTTCTGTTCATGTCCTCTGACACATCTGGCACTAGCCACATACTGGCTTAGATGGACCATTGGTCTGACCCAGTATGGCCATTCTTACGTTCTAGGATCAAGAGTAACAAAGAACCAGAAGAGGAATGGACTGGGGGAGAAGTGAAGAGAGGGAGTCTGAGCCCTTGGAAAAGGAGGGCAGAGAGGGTCAGATGGTAGCCATAGAGAGAGGTGAAGAAGAAAGACATCAGAGACATATTGGGACTGAAAGGAAATGAAGAAGACACTGAACTGTATGCTAAGCAAGTAACCGGGCATGAGTCAGCAGGGGGAAGGATGGTCTTGTTACTAGTATACAGGACAGGGAGTCAGGCCTCCCGGCTTCCATTCCCAACTCTGCCACTGACTATGGGACGTGGGAAAGTCACATCTCTTCTCTAGCCTCAGTTATGCATCTGACCACCAACTCATTTTAAATGGGCCACCAAAGAGCTAGCAGATGTTAATTTCTGCTTACTGACTTCCTTGGTACAGAAACAAATCACCGAACTATCGGTGATAGCCCTGCACCAGTTAAGAATTCCCTTAGCTATCTGGTGCCAGTTAAAATCATCCACTGATTTCATGGCATTGGCCCAATCCTGCCAGATGCTGGATTCATCCTATGAGGGCCTAACCCTTGTCTGATTCATCACTAGATTATCAGCGTCACTATAACAGAATGCAGTCATATCATGATTACTTGATTGGCATACAGACCTGGCAGACTTTAAAATAACTTGCATAGTGTTTGTAACATCAGCTTCTCATCTCCATGTAGTTCTCAGTTTGTTTCTCCTGATCCTCTCCTGCTGATCTGCTCACAGTTGTTTTAATTCATTTCACTAAACAGAAGCTTACTAAACACATTTTAGGGAGAAAACATGGTGAAAAAGAGAAGCTCACTAATCATACTGATCCGTTTACACGGAAAGCATGCCAAATGCAAACAAAACTATGAAGAAATCATGGATTTTAAGTGAATTTTACCAATCCAGTTAAGAAGTTGGAACTTAATTACCATTAATCGGCTGCCTGTTCATGAAGGAAGATACATCAATCTGGATCTCATAGGGGGCTGGACTTGGCTGGGGCTGGACCCCCATATGCACAGGCATCATATTCTCACAGGCTGATGCAGGGGCTCCTGTTGGAAAAGCAACACATGAACGAATAACGTTCCAAAAGACGATGTAGCCAAGAAGTGAAGGACTCCAGTGAGCCATGGCTGGGGGAATCAACAATAAATCCTCTCTGACTGCAGCCACGTTTAAGACAGAGGAAAGAGGAGCAGGGCTCTGCTGAGTCACTTACCCTCAACAAATTCATTTTCTAGCCTTGGGTTTTGAGTGCTTTTTGCGCACACGCCCTCTGAATGAGGGCTGTGTTCAGTGGTTTCTAGCTATTAGCTATCTGCATAAGGGATCTTTCAGAATAACTAAGGGTATTTTGCTTTCACTTCCCTCCTTACAACCCACTTCTTTCTCCTGCTTTCCTATGTTAATCGCCTTGCCAAGAGGTCTCCAACCCTCCCTGTGCTGGGGTCGTTCCTGGTTTTCTATTGGTCTGAGTTAGACTGTAAGCAGCTCAGGGCAGGAACCTGGTCCTTCAAGTGTTGTGTAGAGACCAAGACGACTCATGATGCTGTAGAGATGAATAACAAGGCGAGCTTTCTGCTTTCTGCTGGAGATGGGTCTGAACCAAACCTCTAGAGCTGAGCCTCCCGAATCCAAGCTTCACACAGTTGGCCCCTCTCTATATACTGAGCATTAGTTGGGAAAGGAGGGCAGTACTGGTGCTCTATAGGAAAGCAAATCAAAAACGTAACCCATCCTTCTCTGCTGCCTTTGTCCTCCCTACCCACTCCCCGTTCATGCATTCAGGACTGCTGGCTCTCCGACTAACCCCTATTTGTGCTGTAAAAGGTCACTCAGCAGCTATCAGATTGTAGTCATTTTTGGCCACTACCAGCCTGGACTTTAAACAAATCTGTTCTACGGGTTAAAGACTCTATATCCTCATTATCAATCCCCGACCATCCATTCCCTACATTCTGTGTCCTAACAGTTCGCTCTTTGGCATTAATCCTTCATGAGTAAGTGATGCCAGAACGAACCCCGTGGCCTGGAGATGTGAAGGGTCCATGACTTTCTCTTTACATAATCACAGTGAAATTACCTACAAATTCACTGATCGCAATCTACACGTTTAGAAGTGACATTTCCCATTGAATTGCTATTACTCTGGTTAGACTCACTCACCGAAACAAAATTGCTTTCCAGCCAAATAGGAGTTAGTACTAGAAAAATGCAAGGGAGCTGCTGAAGATGTATGAGTCAGAATTCCTGAACATTATCATAAAAAAGTTTAAAGGGCTTATCAACTTTCCTTTCAAAGCCTCTGCTTGTATGGCAAATGCCAAGGCTGGCCAGGTGCTCTCTGTCCCCTGACAAGAACAAAGGGACATTTGTTCACATTGCTGGTGAGAAATGTACAGTAGCCTTCACAAGGCTAAGAAAGGAGCGATTAAAGGAAGATTAAAGAGCCACGGAAAGGGAAGGGAGTTTGTTGTAGGCAGAGGCAAGCAGGGAAGGAAAGAGAAAAACAGCCCTGACCCCTTTGTGGGGCATCAAGAGTGCAAAACAGGGAACAAACGCCATTAAATAACAGAAGATTTGATCTACTCTGCTCACACTGGGGGAAATCAGGAGGAGCTCGACTGGGGTGGAGCCAGTGTGAGTGGAGAATCAGGCCCTCCCTAGCCACATTCTTCACGAAGGGAAGGGCCGGATTTTCTGAAATGCTAACGCCTCAAGACCTCACTGAAGTCAAGGGTAGTTAAGGGTGCTCAGGCAGCTCAGAACTTCTGAAAATCAGGTTCTTTATGGTTAACATATGCATGCTGGGGAAGCTGCCTTGCCCTCTGATGTTATGATGATTCTATTCCATCTTATTGATGGCTTGGTAATATAACTGCCTCAAAATTCAGTTTCATGCAGATATTTTTAAAAAATGAAATAAAAGTACATGAACTAAAGTAAATGGAACTCCCCTGGCTCTACTGCAGTATTAAAGAGAACTTTGGCCCAAATTAGACCCAACATTTAGATCTGAATTTCCCCACATTTGGAGGGGGCTCTGAGTGGACCCATCTCTTGTCTGCGTCTTCAAATATTGTTTGTGTTGCTAAGCACGGAGACCCCAATACTTTTCTAAGGACACCCTGAGCGGTAGCTATATGGACACGGTGTTCTAGATTAGCTGGCATGGAGGCTAACTCAGCTCACGTGGCTTTGTTTTCAGTCCATGACCAACTCATCACGCTTCCTGCCTCAGCCTATCTTTTGAAAGATGGAGACAGCTTGGGAATCAATTAAACACAAAGCCCAAAGATCCTGTCACAAGCCGGTCAGTTACAACCCTGGAGGGAGAGTGGGAAGGGAGGAGATAAGACAGATGATGAAAAAAGGGACTGTGTGTGTGAAGACCAGGGAGAGAAAACGGAGTAGGCGGGCACAAGGGAGAGAAGGAAAGGATGCCAAGTCCCCTGCTGCTGATGATGTGGAGCTCCTTGCCATCCCAGCTAAACTGCAGCTGGTGAAAGGCCAGACAGGGCCACTTTGGGTCCGATTACCCTTAGTCTTCCAGAAAATCAACATGCCAGCTGTTTGGCACCCATAGACTTCCCTCCGACCCCCACCACAGGCACTGGGACTTTAGATGCTAGGAAATGGAATGAAAAGAAATAGATGTTTGCAAAGATCCTTTTAGTTCCCTGTCACAGATCTAATCCAGCGCCCTCTGTTGGCCACTCACGAGATTGCTGAGAGAGGAATTCAAGCCTCTTGAAACTCCCACTGTTGTAAGCTTCCGGGGGAGGGGGGTGTTAATTGGCTGTAGCACATTTCCTGGGCACCAACTCTCACAGTTACCCCTTCACAGAAATGGAGCCCCTCAGCCCACCCGCCTCATGCCCCCACCTCCATCACTGACCCCCAAGATACCTCAGTAATTAAACACACCGTCTCCCAGAAGCCCATTGAAGGTGGCAGGCTTCTGGGTTACACACACAGTCACTTTGCACAGGGCTCTACGCTGCAGTTGCTCTTTACTTAATCACAAGAGATATATATAGACCCACACAAAAATAATAAAAACCTACATGCTCTTCCCCGCACTGTAGCTCAGCCTTCCCTTGGGAAGTTGGGACTCCTTGGAGAACCATCTGTGTTCAGGTCGGCAGGGTTCCCTCTATCTCACCTAGCACCTGCAGCAGCTTCCCCTACCTTAAACAGGTGAAAGATGGCTGGAGAGAGAATGACTGCGCACAAACAGCAGCTTTGGCCCTTTATATTCTTCCAGCCCCTTCAGAGGTGACTCCCTGGTCAGTCTTAACAGGTGACCACAGAGTCCTACCAGAGGATTTCATTGTTAGGCAACTTCTCTCTGACAACCTAGGTCTCCTGGCTGGGAGCCAGTCTTTGGTCTAGAGCTATTACATTTCAATGGTCAAGCACTTAAGTTAACACCCCTCTTCTGTTATTCTTTTGCCAGCCACCATTGGAATTCCAGTCCAACTGGGAGACAAAGAGATGGCAAACTGTTGCATGTTAAAAATGGAGTTTGCAGCTTGGTAAAGACACATACAGAGAGTTCATAATCTCACATCATTCATAAATTGGACAGGCAGATTCCCCAGATCAGCAGAGCATACCTGAAAGGGCAGATTTGGAACCAGTGCCCAGACTCTGCCCAGCCCCATGAAGCTTGGAAGCATGTGAGATCCAAAGGTTGGGTCCAAAATACAGCAGCTGGGTGACTGTTCACATGGGGGAACCCGCCACAATCCATGGATAAGGTTGCCACCTCTGAAATTAAAAAAAAAAAAAGAGGGGGGGGACTTCTGGGATTATCCTGAGCCCATAAAACTGGGAGCTGGCAGTGTGTACTGAGCACTTGTACAGATTTTCCAGGACAGCTACCTCTAAAAAAATAAAATAAAATAAAAAAGGATGATCATGGGAATAGCTGGTCAGGTGGCAACAGTATCCATGGACAATATTCTCCCTTGGGCCTGGTGGAGCTCTTTATAATGGAAATCCAATGACAGGACTCTTCTCACCTTATGGAGCATGACTTGATGGAGAACTGGGAGATATTTCCTCTCTGATGATTACCATGGATATACTACACAGCCTATGTCTGGACAGCAGGGTGAACAAGGTCTGCCTCTTGCCAGACAGATAGTAAGTTTTTCTGGGTTGTCCGTCACAAGCCCTATCCCCCTCTTTGGTTCTGGTGTGATCTATCCTGCACTTTCCACTTGGTTCCATTTGTTCCTGCTTCCACATTTCTTGCTCCCAACACTTGTCTTTTCAGAATCTCTCCCCCTCTTTCTGTGAAGGACTCCCTGCTCTGGAAGTCCCCCTGCCCAGTGTTTTGAAGGGGCTGGAATTCTCTTCATTGGCGACTCAACAAAAATCACTATGCACTCAAGCTTCACCGGCTGGGGTCTGGCCTGAATCTTGGTTCAGGGTCTCTGGTCTCCTCCAGAAGGCTGCCTAGCATGAAGCTTTGGGAAGTCAGGGTCATTCATCTGGCCTTTTAATCCAAGGAGCTCTAAAGAGAGTTAGATGATGTCAGGGTAAAGCTGCTTAAGTTCAATGGGCCCCTTGTTTATGCTACAGATTCTGCTGTTGCCACTGCTAGTGAGGGAATTACAGGTCCCATTTTTGCAGCCTTAGCAGAACTACTAGTCTGTTGGAATGGATCAATTTCTGCAGTTCAGCCGGGACCCTTAAATCCAATTTCCCACTAAAGAACACAGATGGGGCTGTTACATTCCTGAACAATCTACACAAAGAAACAATGATTAGTGCAAAGTATTGGGCACAGCCCTGTGTGATTGAATGAGGGGGGGAAGCAAAACACCATTTAAGAACACAGAGGGCTAATGTTCAAAGCAGGGTTTCATTGACTGCTCTCTGGTGTTTAGTTTTCATTTAATGTTCTTGTCTCCGAGCAGTAAACTAAGCTCTGGTGGGTCCCTCTTACTTCTTACTCACAACTCCAAGGAACAGTCTCTAGTGTACCTGCTGGACTGGCTCGTGGACTGTACAATCTACACGGCATGGTCTCTAGGTTTCCACATGCTTCCATGACTGAGCCATACTTCCTGTCTTCCCTCATCCCTGCCTACCCCCACACTGCTTTAGGGGCACCCTGCTTTCTCTGTGCCTCTGGCATGTTCCATTGTAATAACAATAGCATTTCCATAACACCTTGTGTCACAAACATCCATCTATATACCCTGCAACATCCCTGTGCAACAGGTATTGTTGTTATCCTCAGAG